TTGTTGTTGTTGTTGTTGTTGTTGTAGTTGTAGTTTGTGAGATTCTCGATTCAGAAAACGCATCTGATCAAGATACAACCTGGAAGGCTATTGGGCATGCATTACAAAATTACTGATCTGTACGTACCTGTAAATGACGCACATGTGCACCCAAAAGCCGGCCCGTGTCTGCTCTTGGACTCAGCCCAACCGCGGACTAAATCGTGAAGGCGTTTACATGTGTTTCGAGCAGATTCCATCTCGATCTTACACTCGCATGATTCTGACGTGCGCAGTCACGCGGGAATTGTACATGAAAGAAATTCTGGCCTCGGCTCATTCTGGAAACCCTTTGAAGAAGGTCACGTGTTTCTATTCGACTAACGAAATGCAGCCCACATAACAGTTTCCTGTTTTAATTTCGTCTGAAGGAAACGTTTTAACTGAGTTTCTGAAGACTGGATACGAATTAATATCAAGGCTTTGGGGATATACAGGGTGATCGTTTTTTTTAGAAACATTAACTTTTCGCAATAAAACTGCTGTTTATTTATACACTGATGGCGATTAATTGTTGTAGCTACGATCTTGAGTTCTTGTGAAATTTATTCTGTCATATAAGGCGCTGACAAAGGTCGACCCTGGAGTCCATTTATAATTTAACGCGATGATTCAGACCGGCGAATATTTGTTGTAATGTGTCCGCGGAAATAGACGCAGTCTCCTGTGCAGATGTGTTCTTTGAGGTCGCCTATGTAGTGCGAGGCGTGTTCATGTAGACCCCAGAAGAAAACGTTTGGCAGGATAAAATCCGGTGACCTTGGCAGCCAGAGGTCTCATGAAATTACAGTTTCTGATACAAAATTGAAGCTTCACGCGTCATGTCGGACACCGGGAGCGATCACTTAAAGCGCCTTATATGAAAGGTGTGTACCTGCAGTATTTGAGCACCATCGGAGCGTAAATAGTTGTTTTATTGCGAGAGGAACCACCCTGTAGCCTGTTACAAATCTCAGAATATTTTCAAAAGATTTTGACATGTTTCGACTTCCTCATTTCTTCAGGCAATTACCACGATAGGGCTCCCTTAGTCACTACTCGCATCCATTTCCAAAAACGAGGCTCTGGCAACCGACTCATGGCGGTGTGTCTTGTGTGAGTGAATAAATGTCATTACCAACAATTTAAATTTAAATGTTTTGTTATGTTAAAAATCCAAGATAATTGTTTTATTTTTGTGTTGAGTGTCAATGTCTTTACACAAGAGCAATGAGAAAATCTATGAGATTTTCTTATAAATATCGTAATAATGGTGTGCCTACTTAAAGGATAACAGGTTTTGAAATAATTTTTATTACAAACCTGTACATCTACAGCAAATGGTGTCACGTGTCAAGACCATCACACCTGATGTGGCCACTATTAATATTTCGTGAAGGTAGTCTATTAATTCTGAAACTTCTCATTACTGGTTAATGATGCACGAATGTCTTATACTGAAATTTTCCGATCACAGCCTCACTAGCTTTTTCCGTAAGGTAACTTCGTGGCCTCTTAAAAGGTTCATCACATACGAATGTGACAGTTTGCGTTCCATGTATCGGCTAGTGGACTCGTAACACAACACACATGTTCACGGAGTAGTCCAGTGACTGGACGAAGATATCAGTCCGATCGCTGCAAGTGACGTGTCCATTTGTCGTAGACAGAAGTCTCACTTCCGGTCACATTCTGACTGAGAATTCAGAAGGATGCGGGTCTCCGCCGTTTTCCGTGCTCAGGAATGCTTGATTTGTGAAGTCGGAATTCCGAAGTCTGTATGCGTTTTCTGTAAGCATTGGAATAAGTTATTATTACGTTTAAATAAATATTCTCATATTTCTTTACTATTTATAAGCTAGAAAAGGGACTGTATATAGCTGTAAGGCCCTCACTTTTTTTTTTGTAAAATTTTCTTTTACAAATTTCTACGTATGTAGGATTTGAAATTCTCACTGCTGCCTTCGGGGTTGTAACGCAGTGTAGTCTGGTAGAAGTTTACCAGCTTTTTAGAGGTACTTGCTGCCTCCATCATCGGGGCGAAGACAGCCAGTCTTGTTTCCATACGTAATTATATTCAGTGCGTGGACAAACAACGGTTTTATATGGCTTCGGTGTAGAGGCCCTACTCTTAGGAAAATCTCTTTCATTAAAGTAGGCCGTACCTTAAATGCTATTATTATATTAGTCACTTTTTTTTTACAATTTAACCCTTTAAATCCGAGGGGTAGTACCATCTGCTTTAAGAATCAGTAACGCCGAATTTTGTATTCGTAGATTTCGTATGATTCTCGCAATAAACAGCGATTATTTCCTTAAACAGCGTTAATGGTGAATTGTGATGTTTTCTTTGCGGTACGGACTGAATCCTTTCGTGTTATTTTGGCTTTAAAGGCTTAAAGAACAAGTCAAGACAGGAAAAGCTAATAATTTCACGACTTACTTTGACTGTCGCGAGCATCCTGAGTAACGTGCGATGTCTGACGAGACACCGGGGGGAAGGTTTCCCATCCCATCGGGTGATATCCTGGTTCATTGTGCATGGCAATGTCCAGTCCTGTAACAGTGAAATAGCGCACTGTTCTAACCGCTATAAACGCTAGTGGAGGAAACAGAGAATTATGATTTTATAATTTTCCAAAATAATCAGCATTATATTTAAATTTTTATATTTTTTCAGCTATTCAGTGTATATTGGCTAAATTATCCGTGGTATTTAACCAAGCACTGCCACGTAGACATTCTTAACCTTGGCACTAGATGGCGAGTGGATAGCTTTACGCTCCGGCCGCTTTAACTTCTGAGGAAGGAGCCATTGTATAGAGGCTTAGTGGGCCCCAAATCCGGCCAGGTTGCCTGTATTTGTAAATCGAATTTTGGTCTTGAAACTGTTTTACCTTTCCGTTCCTCCTCTTCGCTGACCCGAAGTTTCCCGAGCAGCTTCAGGATCCCGAACATGACGCTGGACGTCGCCCCTCCCCAGATGATAATGGCGCAGGCGCCAAGCATCTCGTAGCCTAGAAACTGATACGTGAAACATCGTGTAAACTACAGTCCGCGACTGTAATCTTGAGATATCGTGAAGGTGAAATATATCGTCTGCCTTTAACGCTTTGGACTTCCTGCATCCCTTGCAAGTATCAAGATTACAGTCGCGTACTATAGAAAGAAGTTGATTTTTTTGTAGTAAATATTCAACACTGTTCGACAGCATTTGGTAAATGTTTGTAATACCGAGTTTGAACCAAATCGGTCTGGTACAGTAATTTAGGCGCTGTTACCAGCAGACTGAAGGATGGACACAGATCTGATAGTGGTTTAGATTAATTTAAATGCCTCTAGAAAAATGCTTTCAGTGTTTAGGTTGTAATGAATTATTCTAGTATAAAATACACGGCTGTTTGTTCACGACAGGAATAAAAAAATGTAACAGACATGAAATGAAAGCAAGTACGGGGAATGTTACCAGGCCAGATTCTTTGTTGACACCGTATACTATCCCTCCATGAGCGAACAGAGCTGCTGATACGAGACCCCAGAATCCACCGCCGAAATGAACAGCCACTGCATCCAGCGGATCGTCAACTGTAAATAAATTTGGATTTGTTTGTTAGTTTGTTTAACGATTAGGCCAATCGTAGCATTTCGTAATTTACTGGATGTTGAAAGCAGGTCGTGTGCTTTAAAGGGTTAAATATGTAGAAGTGACTTAACTGACCTTTGCACCTGAGCATAAAATAGTGAATCATTACGAAGACGAGTCCAGCAATGGCTCCGGAGATGAAACTCGCCCAAAACTCCATCCTGTTGACGCCTGCACACACCGACACCTGCAACCAGCACGCCACTCTTTGCATGCAGTTCTTTCTGAAGCCGCGTTCAGACTCTGTGATTCATTACGTATTTCGTATGATCCTCATTATAAACAGCGATCATTTCCTTAAACAGCGTTAACGAAATTAATTTCGTAATGGTTCAGTGTAGTGTTTTCTTCGCGGTACGGACTGAATTCTTAAGTTTCATTTGAAAGAGCTTCGGCTCCAAAGGTTAATTAGCGTTTTAGTCGTATTATTTCCTTAAACAGCGTTAACCAGTTGATCTTTGTAATGGTGAAGAGTAGTGTTTTCTTCGCGGTACGGACTGAATTCTTAAGTTTCATTTGAAAGAGCCTCGGCTTTAAACGGACATCACTCGTTATCCGACGCTATGCAGTCTGAGCTGCTAACAGCGTCGACAGAATACCAATAAGAGTAATTTTGTTGTAAAGCTAACGAACGTGTAGATGAAGTCTGGCGGTACTAATTTCAATTACCATGCCCGTAATAGCAGCGTTCAGTGTGAGGCTGAAGTTCCAGGTGGCGGGACCAAAGAATCCAGCCTTGGTTAAGGCTAGGATTACGATACTGCCTCCACTTGCACCGAGAAGAGTGTTGATCATGACTCGGGCCACAGTCGCGCTGTCTCCCGCGTTTGTGATGGTCCCTAGGGATCCCCCGTTGAACGACAGGAATCCCACAATGAGAAGCATTCCTCCTATCCCCGTCAGCTGCAGAAAACAGCAGGTGTTAACGGGAATGTAACGCGATTCAGTTCAGGACTGTGCGAACAAGTTCTCAGTACCGGCGATAGGTGACGGAATTGAGTAGGGGTTGAGGTTCTCACGGGGGTGAGAACGAAGATGGCTGTCTTCTGGGTTGTAGCACCCTGATGATAGAGGCAGCAAAGTCGAATGAAACGTTGGTAAAATTCTTGCAGACTGCACGGAACTACAACCCAGAAGACAGCCATCTTAGATGACAAGTTCTGCTGTTTGGTTCCGGAATGTTTTTATTGACTCACCGGAACGGAGTGTCCCACGATTTCTTTGTCTCCTGCACCAAATCGCCCCAGTCGTGGGCCCAGGAAGATGACAGCAAAGAAGGAGCAGACACCCCCTAGCAAGTGGATCGGCCCACTGCCTGAGAAATCCACGTACCCCAGTTTGTTCAGCCAGCCTTCTTCTGTCCACGCCCAGTGTGTGATGGGAGGGTAGATCAACCCTAAAATATTTCAACATAACTCTGTCTCCGGGATGCATTTCGAAAAAAAAAATTAACCAGCGTCTTGTAGCGCCGTGTAGTCTGGTAGAAGTTTATCAGCGTTTCAAATGTCCCGATGATGGAAGGGGCGAGGACCTCTGAAACGTCGATAAACTTCTACCAGATTATACGGCTCTACAGTCCATTACTGAAATAATACGTACCAGAGATGGTAATACTGTAAACGATGTAAGCAACATAGTTGCACCTCTCTGCCACGGCTCCAGACACTATGGTGGCAGCAGTAGCGGCGAATCCAAACTGGAAGAACCAGTGGGCCCTTTTGGCGGCCGGAAGCCCTTCTCCGGCCCAGTACGTGTACCCCAAAAAGTAGTTCCCTTCTCCGTAAGCCAGGGCGTACCCCACGAGCCAGTAGCTGACGCAGCTGAAAGCTGGAACAAGTGGATACCGCGAAGTCTGTTGTTACCTGCCCCTGCTTCAGAACAAGAGAACTCAGAGTGGTCGGAAATTTTACCCCTGAGAACAGATGCGTAAATGCATGCCAAGTTTTTGATTCGTTTATTAAATTCAGAGTAATGAGATTCTTAATTTAACAAAAGGCGAAATGTAATGTTATCGCAGAGAGCGTCATTTTGTGTACTTACTGCATTAAACTCCATCCTAGTTACGCCCTTAAGTCCGGGAAAAGCGCCTCTAAAATGGAAAATATTATATATACCGGTACCCACACATTTTGGAATTTTTATGTTTGCTGTTTAACATAAAAGTGTTCTTCTGTGCGGTCATTTTTAATACTTAAATAAAATAAATTCCCTTTAGAACGCGTCAACAAATATGCGATTTGAAACTTTCACGATTGAATTTACCCGTCACTGTTGACGGGCAATTTTCTAGGTACGTACACAGATCAGAGATGAAGCTACTCACAGATGTCCATGATATTCTTCATCATGATGTTCGTTGTGTTCTTGGCCCGCACTGCCCCAGCCTCCAGGCCCGCAAACCCAATCTGCATCACTGCATAAGAACATACTTTATTTTTAAGATAGTGTAATTGCGTCATATTGTGAATATTATAACAATTATTTATTTTAATCCGTCTGATCACAATATTTAAAATTTCTTATAATTAAGATAATAAAATATCATTCATGTTCCATATCGATTGATCGATTTACATTTCGGAACATTTACACAACATGTTTCGGTTTTTATAAAACCATCATCAGGTGTAAAATATATCTAAGAACTTAAAACTCAATTAAGATTTCTGTACAAACATGTTGTGTACATGTTCCGAAATGTAAATCGATCAATCGATATGGAACATGAATGACATTTTATTATCTTAATTATAAGGAATTTTAAATATTGTGATCAGACGGATTAAAATAAATAATTGTTATAGTGTTCTTAAGTTGGTGCACGTAAAATTGTAACACAAAACGTTGGAGAATTTTCGAAGAAAATAAACCTGGTTGTCTATTGTAACGTACATAATATTACCTGAATTTAATTGGAACACAACAGTAAATTCTGAATTTCAACTATTTATTGTCAATTTGAGTCAAATTAATTTTCAATGTGACATCATATTTATTCAGTAATATTAACCCAGTTTACGTACAGTGTAAGATATGTAATTCCTTAAACAGCTTTAACTAATAGATCTTTGTAACGGTCAAGTGTTGTGTTTTCTTTGAGGTACGGACTGAATTCTTAAAAAAAAAAAAAATTTCTTCAGATGAGCTTCGACTTCAAATGGTCAATGGTTGAACGTCTTCCTTTGCAGTATTCATGTCTACACTTATTTAAACATGCAATTAACTTACTTACATATGAGAATTATTCCATTTATCAACAGGAATAGGTCGTTCAAATTGTCGTTCAGTTCAGTGATATCTGTGGTGTTGGTAGCCATGTTTGTAAGAATGCAGTTCCTTCACATGAGTTGTCCCTGAAAGGGAGAAGACAAACATAAACATTTTAATAGTATCTTTCAATCAAAGGTTTTAAATTCAGATGTTAATGACAGTGTCTCTTTAATCGAAACGAGAAACAACAAACTTGACATTTCGTATTTTGGGTCTCCACATACATTTCTCGCGATACTTCTGTTTATCTGCTGAGACAATACCTGTTTACAAATGTTAAAAATAAACAATTATTATTCGTAGAAATGAAAACCTGAAAGTTAAGAAACTTGTTTTCGTCCTGTTCGTTAACACACCAAAGATCACTTGTCCCATCCGCTGTAGTCAACTCCTTTTCATCCTTTCGTAGAAGCAGGAAAGACGTTAAAATTTATTTTTAATTACGAAGTACAATATATCCTAGCGTTACCATCGATTAACCCTAAAAAAACACAACACGTCACTTAAAAGAAACAGCAGGTTAATTATGTTTAGGGAAATAACAGCTGATTAAATAGATAGACCGCGTGAATAAGACATAGAGTTATTAATTTTAAATTTGGTTGTACCTGTAGTAAACATCGCGTTTTAAATTTGTATACATGGTGCCCAGAAAATATGTATACACACATTCGATGAATCAATTGAAGAGATTTTAAAAAACTAAAACCATTACGTAAGTCAACATTAGCATTTAGTAAAGTAGCGAATTTACTGTAGGTGTTCGAAATAACCACCGTTATCTTAATGGCGCTGTTGACAGCGGTGAGCAACTGACCGTGTTAGAAAATATTTCTATCTCTCTGGAAAAGTTAGCATATTTTTGAATTTTCAGATAAAACAAGTTACTATTTTCAGTACAAATATACTTTTACACAGCCATATAAGTTCCAGTTAAATAATTGCTTAAAATATAGCTTCCTTTCTGTTTGTCTACCTTAGTTTTATTGGTAAATTGTAATTCAACACGTGTGTTCTTATTGGTCATTGATATTCTTACTGAATGCTATTCGATTTACATGTGCATACAATTCGCAACGAACATACATCATGTGTCAATGCGTTTCACCAGCGAATACAAATTTTACAAATTATAATGCGTAAGAGTTGGTACAGCATTCCATGTTGAACAAAGCCTCGTACCTCTGCTGTGTGTTTACAGACTTGTGATTTATGTCGAAGCGTAGAAACTTACGTCCTTTCTTCAGAGAAAGAATTCATGTCCAAAAGTGATGCAACATGGAGGAAATACAAAAATTTTATATATTAGAAATTTTTAGTGTTTTAATCATCTGATGTAATTAACTTTTTAAATGTGAACATTGCATACCCTCAGGGGCTCACATTAGTGGGTACGGGAAATGGCGATCCCGAGGTACCTGAGCTACCCAGTGCCCGGGGGTATATCTGGGCCACCCTGTCTCCGGGGGATAGAAATTCGGAGGCCTGGTCCTCCAGGTTGGGGGTTGGGCGTGGGGTTTACAGCCCCATCCCGGATTAAATATATTTATTTTGTACAGTCTATACACAAACGTTTGAAGTTTATTGGTGTTGTAAAAAATTATATAATATTAAAACATTTTGTTGTGTAAAATATTATATTAGCGCCCTTAATCGTAATAAACTTCAAACTTTTGTGTATAGACTGTACAAAATAAATATATAAAATAAAATGTTTAATTTACATGGTAGAAGGGAAGGTATGGACTCCTAACACTCCAGTTGTAAATGTATGTATACAACATGCTTAAGAAATCAGTAAGTATTCATTTTTTATTTGTGGATTTTGTATTGAACTAAAAAATATTTCTTATTTTTTAAACAGCGATAAACAGATTGTATTTGCAATGGCGAAGTATTGTATTTTCTTCGCGGTACGGACTGAATTACTATGGAAGTACATCAGTTATCTACAGCAGTGGTATTCAACCTGGGGTACGCGTACCCCGGGGGTACGCAAAGACATCTTAGGGGGTACATGAAAATTTAAAAAAAAAAAATATTATTTTATGATAAACACCGAATAATCACATTTAAATGCAACAATCCGCATTATTTTCAGACTACCTCCACTTAAAATTTCGGGAGTAGATGAAATTACGTTTTTCTACATTGTTAAAGATTTTCCAACGCTGTGGATTGGTCTACTGTTTCTTCTCAATGGAAGTACGTCTCGGGAAATTTTACACAGCTGTTAGTTGAGTAATTATGATATCCACGTATCCTTCCCACTTTGTAGGCTTTGTGCATTGGCCTTGGGGTTTATTTAGCAAATTAACTTGCCTATGTTAGTAGACCATGTTCAGGCATCGTGACGTAAGATAGCGGGCTATCTCAGGAAGTTTAATATCTTTCGCCGAACACTGTTCTATGAATATATATTGAGTATATAAATTAAAACGCAACTCAAAAACAGACACGAACTACGATGCAAAAATAAAAACAGAAGAAGGTCCAACTGCGTATTGTTGGGGGGGAAAAGTTATGCTACAGAAAAATTAGTAGAACAGACTTTAGCAAAAATTAAAAAAACAGTCACTTTTAAACAGATGTAAATATTGCGTAAACGTAGCTGGTCTGCTAATTGTTATAAACTGCTGCATTTTGATGTTAAGAAAATATTAAACCTAAGGCATTTATTTAAAAAAAGTATAATTTACTTTAACCAGACGAGAACATTCTTGTGGAAATACATTCCGTGCGGAACATTTTCATTACTTTAGAAGGAACGTGCTAAACCTTTTTATCACAATATCATAACGGTTATGTATTTTTGTTGGAGTCATGAATACGTGCTTGTTTCTTTATCTTAAGGAAATATAAAAATAGTTAGAATTTTTACATTTAGTCAGTACGCCTACAAACCTTGTCTCATAACTCGAAGTCTGAGTAAAAGTTTTCTTAACTGTACGTTGCTATTCGTATTGTATGCAACCTGTGTGTTCACTCACGCTTACTGATCGCTGTTGCATAACGCGGTACCAACACAGAGAAAACAATGGCACAATAGATCTTAGCGTTTTAATCAGGAAAATACATTTATAAATATATAATTTAGGATTTCAGTATCTGCAAAAAAATGGTAAGATGGTAGGTAATTTGGCTGGTACTTGGTGATGGTAGGTATTATCCACGGAGGACACGTAGAATTAAGACGAATTTACGCATGGAGACATATTTTAAGTCTATACGAGGCTGAAAGTCTTAGCTGAGAAGTATTGAAAAAGAATACGAAGTGTTTTAGTAACAAAACAATTGAATAAAAGCTATTTAGCGTCTATCGGACGATTAATTTATAAGTTATGAATAATTTTGTCAAAATCGAATGTTTGTAGATAGCATATTAATCAGAGATCGAAGCGACTGCCTTAAACTCGAAATCCTAAGACAAAGTAACATTTTCTATATTGTATTTTATGAAAATTGTTTTGTGTGACGGCGAGTTAACTTGTACGAATGCTTGCTGTTGGAAAAGCAGTGAAAAGGTCGAAACTATCGTCTACTACAATACACTCCTAGATTTTTAATGTTGTAGCGAGGTCATCTTATCAGCAAGCGATAAATCGCCAAGTTCCACATTAAACGCCGCCCTTCCAAGGCCAATATCAAAATTCAAAATTGTGCACGAACGCAGGAAGAACCTGGGTCAACTTCTCTCCTTGATCCACATTTCACCACATCTTTTCCACATCCAAATGCCTTACCTTTACAAACCCTATCTCTGTACCTGAAGGACCAGCGAGCACTGCCTGGGGACCTTCGTAGCCGAAAATCAAAATTTATGCCCCCCCCCTCCCCCCCAGTTAAAAAGTAGTGAAAGTCACTACTTATCCCTTTCTTTATTGCTTCGTAGGATTATAATTCTGTTCTCTTACCTGTCCACTGACTTCCTCTTGTATGCGCTCTCACCTGCGAACTGACTATAATAACAGTTGACGTAGTAATTCACCTTGGAAGAGAGAGAGAGAGAGAGAGAGAGAGACCTGTCCTAGTTCTCGGCCAACTGGCTGGCCCGTCGCTTCAGCGTGTTCTATAACCTCCGAGGTGCAGATTCACATGAGTGACCTATCCACCCAAGAATATTTTTCAGACTTGGAAATCTAATTATGTAACCAACGAACGTCATGGAGCAGAACGCGATTTTCCCTCAGAAAATCAAGGGATTTACCGAAGACGGATGTCTTCTGGGTTGCTGCTTCCATCATCGGGGCGACGGCCCTGATGATGAAGGCAGCAAGGACCTTCGAAACGTTAGTAAACTTCAACCAGACTGCACGGCGCTAGAACACAGAAGATAGAAAACTTTCGGACTCACCACCAGCGGCTCACACGGATTTTATATCCAGGTCGGAGTCGGAGTCGGTACATTTTTAACGACTCCGACTCCACAGCCCTGATCCTAAGAAAGTTGAATGCAAGGCATGGCGTGTAGCTCTGTTTCCAGTGAATCAAGGCGAACACGGTATAAATAACTTTATTACTTTAATTATAAATTAAATACATTAGTATAATTCTAAATTAAGCATTGGTTTAGGGCAATATAATACTGGAATAAATAAATATTTGTGATGACAACACGTGACGACTGTTGAACTTTAAAATACGTGTAATATTCTCAGGAATGTGACGTACTAGACGCGTTCGTAAGAACTCACGGAGAGTTTTAACAACACAAATAGTTTTGATTAATCAGCGTTAATCAAAGTTTAAAGAGAAAGTAGTTTGTAATAAACATTGAATAAAACAGCACTGAAATAAATAATGCGTATTTATACAAAGCGCAGGCATATTAGTGTACATCTTTATAATAAATGGATTTGTGTGTTGTCATTAAAGGCATCCATTAGGCCAATAATACTGAAACCTCGTAGTGTGATTCTAGATAAATTTGTGGAGCTCCAATTTACATTCTCCATACTGTTGTATTACTGCTAAGTGGTATGTATATTTACCGTCAATTATAAATAATTATTATTGCTGAAATATTAAAATCTCAAGAACATTTCTACTTACGCGATGTTATAAAATATTATTTGATTCTTACCATAAATGTTTCATGCTATTCAGACATCATCGGGGGTTTACAAATAGTTTTCAATCAAAAAATTATTAATATAAGGTTTCAAAACTGCAATCCCGTGACGATGTCTAAAGGAAAGGACAAACCATGTTGGATGATATGCAAATTAACTATTTGTAAAATTTTGGAAAGTCACTTACGTACATGCCTTTATTCGTATTTGACGTCTAATTTGGTTGACACTTATGGACGCTGAGTACTTGTTCTGGATACGCTCATACTAACATGAAAATTGAAATTTACGGTGCTCCAAGATAAAATGCCTCTACACGTAAATAAAGTTTAGTTTTTAAAATGGCATACAAATATCCGCTTACATCCGTTATCTTCTGGTCTGTAACACCGCGTAGTTTTGTAGACTGCTATCAACACGTTGAGGAACGTATCGTCTCCATCGTCAGGGTACAAGACCACAATGAATACCTTCGACGCGAAAATACGTGAATCTTACAACGCACGGAAACGAACGGTAAGAACCGTACTTAAAAATATTAAAGTCCATTTCTGAAAGCTCTGGAGTGAGCGGGAAACGCCTTATGGATTCGTCCTTGTCTGTCTGTCGCGTTCTTGACTACAGTGCGAATCCAGGTCATTGCTTGGGGCACATTTTTGCAGCAATGAGGCCACTGGTGTTGGATTTTTCACTGTTGCAACAATAACCTGTAATCGCATTATTACAACAAGGACATTGGATAACACTGTTGCGTTCTATATTTCCAATGGTTACCATGGTTCATGGCAATCCTTTATGCCAATTCTCAAAATCCATACACATACGCGTTCGTAAGAACTCACGGAGAGTTTTAACAACACAAATAGTTTTGATTAATCAGCGTTAATCAAAGTTTAAAGAGAAAGTAGTTTGTAATAAACATTGAATAAAACAGCACTGAAATAAATAATGCGTATTTATACAAAGCGCAGGCATATTAGTGTACATCTTTATAATAAATGGATTTGTGTGTTGTCATTAAAGGCATCCATTAGGCCAATAATACTGAAACCTCGTAGTGTGATTCTAGATAAATTTGTGGAGCTCCAATTTACATTCTCCATACTGTTGTATTACTGCTAAGTGGTATGTATATTTACCGTCAATTATAAATAATTATTATTGCTGAAATATTAAAATCTCAAGAACATTTCTACTTACGCGATGTTATAAAATATTATTTGATTCTTACCATAAATGTTTCATGCTATTCAGACATCATCGGGGGTTTACAAATAGTTTTCAATCAAAAAATTATTAATATAAGGTTTCAAAACTGCAATCCCGTGACGATGTCTAAAGGAAAGGACAAACCATGTTGGATGATATGCAAATTAACTATTTGTAAAATTTTGGAAAGTCACTTACGTACATGCCTTTATTCGTATTTGACGTCTAATTTGGTTGACACTTATGGACGCTGAGTACTTGTTCTGGATACGCTCATACTAACATGAAAATTGAAATTTACGGTGCTCCAAGATAAAATGCCTCTACACGTAAATAAAGTTTAGTTTTTAAAATGGCATACAAATATCCGCTTACATCCGTTATCTTCTGGTCTGTAACACCGCGTAGTTTTGTAGACTGCTATCAACACGTTGAGGAACGTATCGTCTCCATCGTCAGGGTACAAGACCACAATGAATACCTTCGACGCGAAAATACGTGAATCTTACAACGCACGGAAACGAACGGTAAGAACCGTACTTAAAAATATTAAAGTCCATTTCTGAAAGCTCTGGAGTGAGCGGGAAACGCCTTATGGATTCGTCCTTGTCTGTCTGTCGCGTTCTTGACTACAGTGCGAATCCAGGTCATTGCTTGGGGCACATTTTTGCAGCAATGAGGCCACTGGTGTTGGATTTTTCACTGTTGCAACAATAACCTGTAATCGCATTATTACAACAAGGACATTGGATAACACTGTTGCGTTCTATATTTCCAATGGTTACCATGGTTCATGGCAATCCTTTATGCCAATTCTCAAAATCCATACACATCATGACGTGTGTACCATAACACACACACATTGTGGTCATGTGTTGCAAGGTATTAAGGGACGTGGAGGCGATGTGGCCCCTGTGTCTAAGCACCACGCTATGAAAGCGTGTTTAAAAGTGGAGGGAAAACTTTGGCATGGGTGGAATTGAGTGGTTATCTTTGTTCTACAACCGCCGAATCTGTCAGCACCGATTAAATGGTAACAGAATAAACGTGTCGATGTTGGTTCGTCTGAAATGTTATCAGCCCTGAAGATGGAGGTAGTATGTTCTTCCGAAACGGTGGCATCTTCCTACGAGCCCTCACAACTCAAGAAGACCAACATCGACATTTTTACCGACGTGATAACCTAAAATATCGTAAAGAAGTGACAATGGATGGGGTAAGGAGCGGGTTATGCGAACGATCTGTGGTGGCAATTCCAGATAGATCGTAGTACGGCTTGAAGGTGTTCTCGGGCGTTGAATTTCACTTCGCCTCTGACTGCGAGACTTAGGGCCGCGGAGGTCCTGGTAATATTTCATGGGAATGCTCGCTCGATGGACAGTTACATCTTGCTCGTTTCTTCCACTGCGCGATCTCCGTTTTCCGTGTCGACAAAAGCCTCGTTTACGAAATTAGTTGAGCGTAGATTGTGAGCGTTGTTTTCTGTGAACATGGTAGTAAAAAGTGTGATTAAATTTCTTTGTTAAAGTTCTGTGAAACGCTCTGTTAAGTCAAATTGCATAGATTTAAACATACTTTGGTGTTTTCTGCCGCGGTGAGTGACGTCAGTTGTTGACAACAGCGAGGTCTGCCACGGAGCTACTGGAGGAAATGTCTTCCAGCCCGAAGGATGGTAGCCGGGTTCATTGTGCATCGCGAGGTCCAGACCTGGAACGGAGCACACTCGTCGTCACTAATAATAAATGTTGTGAGGCGCGTGTCTTGTGCTCAGAACATTCTGTATACCTAGAAATATATTTCGAGACCTTACGTTGTCCCACAAATGCCTCCGTCTAAACCGTTTGTTGATCAATCATCGTATCAAGAGACCAACTGAAAGAGTTGTTATGTAACTAAATCCGTGGTACAGAAGCCTCTCTTAAGAAAGTGATGGTTTATCAGCTACTCAAAAAATCTCCCCGCTAGCAGTCCATGTCCTGAGCCAGATGAATCCAATCCACTACCTCGCACCCAATTTTCTTAAGATTCATCTTAATATTATCCCGAGTCTGGGCAAGGCCATGGTCTAGGCAACACGGAGTTTTCCTCCTGGGGCTTCCCCGGTTTCTCCGTGGCATCCCAACAATTACTCCATTCACACACAGAAGAAGGCAATGGCAAACCACTTCTGGATCATCTGCCAAGAACGTATATGAACAGGTCCCAGTCCGAGAAAAGGATGGAAGGATCCTGTTCATATGGACCTGTCGTCAGACAGAACACTAAATAATAATAATAATCTGCTCCTAATCTTAGCAGCGATCTCTTCCCTTCAGGTTTTAAAACCAAAATTCTGTACACATTTCTTATGTCTGTGCGCGCTACATGTACGGCCCATCTGTCGATAAATAAATGCGTGGCAGTGAAATATAGGTGGCTACGATATTTGTAGAATCGGGAAAAATAGATGCACGCAGAGTTTTGATGGGGAAGCTCGTTGGAAAGCGATCAGTAGTTAGACGAAGAAGGAGATGGAAGGAGATGTATCTCAGGCAGTACGAAAGAAAAGATTGAGGAGTCGTGTCCAGTGACTGATTCTTGGACCAGCAGTCCTGCACATTCGGGCTGGACTGCCACAGTCTTTGTTAATTAGGACACATTAGCAAGTTCGTTCGCTCCACGGCCATATTTATTTATTTATACGCAGCTTGTGTGGAAATCAGCACCGCGGCTCTGCGACTGCCGTGTCCATCGACGCCCACTCGCAGAGACCCTCAACGAAGATAACTAACAAACACGGGAACAAATCCGACTAACAAGGCGTCCTTTTTGGAGAACACTAACATTGCACGCGTGTTCTTTACGACACTGCGTGGGCGATGAAGGCAGCAGGGAAGCCAATTAAACAACGACATCAAAGGAAACAATTATATTCAGGGTCACTGTTGAAAAATGTGATTATAGACGCGACGGACAGACGGACAGACATGGACCTGCCTATAAGATGTCAGTCGCTTACCTTAAAACGTAAAGAACTTCTAAAAACCGGTTCATTTCGTAAAATTTACAAAACAACATACTGAAGAAGAGATTTTAGATTCTCACGGTGACAGTAAGCACGTCCGAAACGTCGGTAAATTTATACGGCGTAAGAACTCAGAAGACAGTCTTCATAATTATTTATGTTTGATATGGAATGAACTACGATGCAGCAGTATTGTCAGTGTGTAAATAAACGCGTTGTAGAATTTTATAAATGTCCTTACCTCTCCGTTCGTCCTCTTCACTTACTCGCAATTTGCCGAGGTATTTGAGCGTTCCGAACATCACGCAGGACGCGAATCCTCCCCAGACGATAATGGCCGCTGCTCCGATAATTCTGTGCCAAAGAATCTGAAACATCGTCGACTGCAGTAAGAACCGTGTCCCGGATAAAAATTGCAAAACAAAAAAATCACGAGTTACGAAAAGTACGACAAAGTTTTGCTAGTCTTAGAGACTTCAGAGCGAACTGCTTTTCTGCACATTCTAAAGTATTAAAGCTATGCAAAAATTTGTTTAGGCAACGTTGGTGAACATTTGCCAAATTTGGCAGTTAAATTTCTGTGATAACTCTCTCTGATTTTATTATACATCCACTTAAATTCCAATGGCTTTTATGTCTGACGTAAGACCCACGAGTTATTTTAAAATAAATAATTCGAAAACGAATTGCAAGCGATTCCGAAAGAACATAAATACGAAATGCTGACAGTTTTGTTGTGACGTTTGCTTATTGATGTTTCAGATCAGGTCCTGTAGCTTATTTAATTTCGTAATTAATAAATACGGGAAAAATGATTCTTCCTTCGAAAACCCCTGTTTCAATTGACAGACTTTCTCAGATAACGTACCAGTGAAGATTCACTGACGGCGCCAAACACCAGTCCGTTGTTATCAAACAGTGATGCTGCGATGAGTCCCCAGAGACCGCCACCGAAATGGACAGCCACAGCATCCAGTGGATCATCAACTGAAATCATCGATAATTAGGCATGTCATCAGAAAATGTTAAAAATATCGAAATTTGTACGTTTGTTTTAAAGTCTTAAATTGTCAAAGTTAAAGAACCTAATTTGAAATCGCTTCAAATTAATTAAAAAAAAGAAGTATTTATAAATCTTTAAATTCAGGTGAGCGTATACTCTACGTTTATACTGAGTTTAAATATATGAATAATGTAAAATTTAAAAGAGCGTGCTCTTACCAACAAATTTTTATACGAGCTTTTTGTTTCGTTTACGGGTTACAAATATGGCGACTGTGCGTGTGTTTGTAGTCTAATAGATATTAGTTTGTTTAAATCTTGTCAGTCTAATCACAATAAAATTCCTATTAAATATTAAAATATTGCTATAATTAACATTTAAATATTTAAAATATATTAAATGATGTTCTCTATCGAAATGTTCGATTTACATTAGATCATCACTTTTTTACACGACATGTTTCAGTTCTAAAAGAACCATCTTCAGGTGTATAAAAT